CACTAAGTCGCCACACCCTGGCTTTTTAATTTTATTATCATCTGAACTATCTAATTTCTGAAGCCAAATATCAATTTTATGATAAGCACCCCAAGCACTAGGCCGTTTTTGTGGAACAAAATCCATACATTGCTTTGCCAGTTTAACATAGCAGTCAGGAGTTTCTGGTACAAATTCAGGACGCAATCCTTTGCAAATCTTTACAGCAAGTTTTATATCGAATTCGTCTCCATCCAAAGATCTTTGTCCAGTTGATATTTCTGATATAATGATTCCAAAGCCGTAAATATCAGCAGCTTGTGTAAACTTTTAATCCAATAAAACCTTTGGTGCTATATATTAATAAATGTTTTTTATACTCACCGACTAAATTAATACGAATGAAATTATTTGAAGGGTATTATGTTATAGTAATGGTAAATACAGTCAGAGATTTTTTAAAATTCGAAGATCATTTCTAGAATGGTCTATAATTATATATAAGCATGTGATTTGCACTTAATAATTGTGATTGGCACTTAGTAATCTTTTTTTAAAAAAAAGTTGTGACCTTTCGTCGATCTGGTACCACAAGTCTAACTATCGAAATACATATTTTTCAACACGTACTTTCAGAATCTGTGAGGATCCCAAAGCCTTAATAAATCAGTTTTCCTTAAATTAAAGCTTAAAATTATATAATTTTATAGATTATAACCAATGAGTTTAAAAGTAGAAGCCAAAACGCTACTCTGTATCTTTACTATTTTTGCTACAAAGTATCTGGAAAGTGGTTTACTAAATCATATAGAAAAATGTAAAACCGAAAAAAGACAACAGTGGCGAAATGCATCAGCTAATGCAGCAACAAAAAAACTAACAGAATTGGCTAAGTATTTTTCTAAATTTAACCTATTCGTTAAATCACTTAAAAATTACTCTTTATGTGAACAGCATTATAACCAGATCGTCACCAAACCTTCTTTTATTAAACAATTAACAAACGAATCAGGTTTTTTAAATTTAGATGAGAACGAAAGAAAAAAGTTAAAACTCTCTAATGATAATGAAAAAAATTTTGCTGATTTTGGTATACAAGTTGAACCAACTTTCGTCGACTTTGGAGTTCAAGTATCTTTGTCAACTATCAATGTTGGAGTTCAAGTATCTTTGCTGACCGTTGACTTTGGAGTTCAAGTATCTTTGCCGACCGTTGACTTTGGAGTTCAAGTATCTTTGCCAGATCTAAAATATGAAATTCTTTTAGAACAAATTAGTAAGCTAGAAAGTGCTAATGCACAATTGTTAGCTAAAAATAAAGCATTAAAAAAAAGTTATGCGAAAGATTTACTAACCAACAAGATTGCATTAAGTTTATTATAGAAATTGCCAAAAAGGAACAAAATAATTTGTATGAAGATATAGAAGGTTTGGTGAAAAATCTGGGATGATTTTCTTTGGATAGTCTTTTGGAATATTCTCCTTCCAAATGGCTTGCAGAACAAAATCCAGTTGTTGTGAAATTTATAGAAACTCTTACTCATAATGAAAATAAACAACAACATGAAGAAAAGCTTTTTAAATGTGCCATAGCGTTGATACTATATATGGATCAAGGCACTTGAAATACATTTCTGCAATCAATTTGGCTACTTCGGCTATTAAGTATTCGTTAGCAAAATCAAAAATGATTGTGGATATTGACAATCATATTATTAGTCTGGTAGCTATTCAAAATTTACTAACTGGCTAGAAAATTTAGCTATAGAACAGCCACCACTTCCCGACGGTCTTCTATTTTTGGCTTTCGACAATGAGCAAAAAAGCCAAAAAAATTATTTGGATCGTGGACATAATACGGTTATATTCCATACCATTATGAGTTTTGTTGCTTTTAATTATGATCAAAGCAACAATATTCAAACTACGAATCCCTGGCTATATTCTGAACCTACCCAAAAATAATATGAAGAATTATTCTACTTAATATTAGGTATAAAAGATGCAATTTATGAAGAACTTACTAACTATCTTTCAGTTATTTTAGAAGAACTTCTTCTCGAAAAAAATCAAGAAACAAATGCGATTGATGACTTGGTAAACTCTCAAAGCCAGATAGGAAATATGAAAAAATGCTATTTTTGTCAAGTCTCCGATATCGATAATAAGAAGCAGGTTTGTTCTAATTGTCGTAATAAATTACTTACAATTAGTGAAATGAATCAACAATTTATTAAACAATCTAATATTAAAAATACTACTAACAAGCTTCTAGTTGTTTGTCCTTATAGGTTTAAAAAATTAAATGTGCAAGAATCGGTTCTAAAGATTCACGAGCCACAAATATTTATTCCTGATCTGATAGGAATTAATCACAATTCGATTGCTAATGTTCGAAAAGTTTTTGAGCATATTGAAAAAGCATCTGGAGTTAAAGACAATAGGTGTAAATGGATCGCGGTTACATGTAATGAAGTGCCGTATCATCATATACTGAAAATAAAAAAAGATTTTTCTTGGCTTATATTAATTTCAGGTGCTCTTCATGAAGAAATGAATATGTTAAAAGCATTCATCGAGTTGAATTGGGATATTGATATGAGAGATTTTGCTCATTGTTAAGGGTATTGAACTGAAAATCAACTTCAGTTCTTCAAAAAATATTCGGATCATCACAAATCGTAGGATTCAGTATGTAACATATACAGGCATGCAATGGCATCTGAATTGATGTGGCCATATATTATGTATGAAGAAAACTCTTCTGTTGAAGGTTATTTAAAATGGGCCTAAGAACAAACGGATCCTATGTATAAATTAAAGTATGAACAAATCTTTCTTTATTTGCAAGCAATTATTAACTTTCGTATTGGAGTTCATTTTAATAGGTCTTTACTAAGACTTGCGGCTAGAAGAATATTTGCGCCTATTTGGTCTACTCGATAGCATCCAATTTATCAATTAATCAAGGTTTATGATGAAGAGCAAATGTTACGATTGAAGTCTAAAGTTTTCAACTTAATCCAAGAAAGAATTGTAACTTCACGATCCAAACTTTCGAATCAATATCAAGGCCACAATGCAATACTTGAAGAAATTAATAGGGTGCTTAAATTATTAATTCCTCTGATACCTTCACAACGATATTGGAAAATTGCAGCACGTAATTGTACTAAGTTTTTGAAATTGTGTACTAATCTTTTTAAGCTAATAAGGTATTCTAAAAGTAAAACCCAAGAACCTCGTATACGTCCTGGTTTTACTGATGAATCAAGTCGTTATCAGGCTTGAATAAGAAAAACCTAATTCATAAATCCAAAAGCTAACAATTGTGTTTTTCAAGATATAAGTGGTGAACAAAAAATAAGTGAAGAAATGAAATGATTTAGCGAAATTGCGAATATAAAAAGAATCGAATTTATTAAAGCTAAACTAATTAACAAAATGGCATTGAAGATTTGGCATCTAATACCTATAACATGTGAAGAGGCAGATTTTCAAAAAACCGAAAACTCTTTAACAAAATTGCAACTTTTATTTATTATTAACTCTTTAAGAGTAGAGTATTTGTTTACATATTTTTTTCATGCAATGCGCAAATAAATATGCATGTACAACCAAATATACAATTATAA